TTGCTGTTGAGCAGGCCCGGGGCCGGGTGTGAACCCGCCAGCTCCGGTGTGGGGCCAGCACCCTCCCCACTGAGCCGCAGGTGCTGATCCAACTTGATGGATTCTTACACAGCCGTTCACCAGCGAGGGACTGCAGCTGAGCTCAAGCTACGCAGTGTCCCCATTACCTGGGGGGTTCTCTTGCCTTCTCTGTCACTGACTGCCCCTCCCTCACCGGATAACTGGTATTCCAGCTTCCACTACCACACAGCTTTTCCTCGTCTGAGTGTCCCGTGAACGCAGTCCTACGACGTGTGCAGTTTCTGTGGCTCCTTCTGGGGTGTCTGTGCTGCTGTGGTTACATGTAGGGGTGGAATTACTGGAGCAGAAGTTATTCATGTATGTCTTCAGTTTTAGTAGAAACAGCCAGTTTTCCAGAATGGTTAGTACAGCTTACCTCCCATTAGCCATGTTTGAGATTTTTTGATTGCTCAGTTCCTTTGTTAACATTTGATATCATCAGATTTTATTTCATATTTCAACTTCATCAATTGTATTTTATTTCTGGTTTGCTTGTAGAATTGTATCCATTTACCCTAGAAGTGCATTAATGTACATAGTTACCATTCAATTAAAAAAAAAAAGAATTGTATCAATTTTATTTTAATTTGTAATTCTCTGATGACTGTGTTGAGTAATTTATTGGCCATTAGGATATTCTATTTTATGAAGTGTTTATTCAGATCATCAGCTTATTTTTAACATTATTGTAAGTGAGTTTTTAGTATAACATACATAAAATACACAAATCTTAAGTGTACCATTCAGTGCCTTTATATGTCTGTCCAATATATGTATGTGTATCTGTGTGATCATAATCCATTTTGTTGGATTTTTTTTACTTTATCTTATTAATTTGTGAGAGCTCTTTTAGTAGCCCATGTTCACTAATCTGAAGTGTCAGTTTTGTTGTAATCTGAATTTCTCAGATTCAGTTGATGTACTTGATTCAGTTTCTGGACTTTCTATTTTATTTATGTTTCTTTTAAAAAAAAAGAAAAACCTTAAAAATTTTATAAGGAGAAAGTGAGACATTGTGGAGAAATACGGTAAGTGAAAACTATTGACAATATTATTTTGTGAGTTATTTTTAAATTGTAATTTTGCATTTTGATGTATTAATTGAAGATAAATTTATGATTGCTGCTTTTAAAAATATTTTTAACTTTGGGACAGTACACATAACATGAAATTTATATCTTAACCATTTATAAGGATATAGCTTATTATGAAGTCCATCCACATTTTTACGAATCTCCAGAACTTTTCATCTTACATGACTGAAACTCTATATTGATTAAACAGTGACTTACCATCCCCCCAGTCCTGCCAGCCACCGTTGTACTTCCAGTTTTTATGAATTTGACTTCTCTAGATACCTCGTGTAAATGGAATCATCTTCTCTAGATACCTCATGTAAATGGAATCATCTTCTCTAGATACCTAGTAATATCTCTAGTAATTGATTTGATTTTTTGTGACTGGCTTATTTCACTTAGCCTGATATTTTCAAGGTTCATTCCGGTTATAACATATTGAAATTTAATTTTTTTTTTTAAAAAGATGAATGTATATGCCACGTTTTAAAATCCATTCATCTGTTGGTGGATACTCGGGTTGCTTTTACCCTTTGGCTATTATGAATTACGCTGTTGTGAACACCTGCTTCAGACTCTGCTTTCAATTTCTTTGAGTATATATCTGGAAGTAGAATTGCTGGATCATGTGGTGGTTCTATTTTTACTTTTTTGAAGACCCTCCAGATTGTTTTCATAGCAGCTGCCTTAGTTTATGCTCCTACCAGCAGTGTCGAAGGTTCCATTTCTTCCACGTGCTCCCCTACGCTTGATATGTTCTGGGGGTTTTTGATAGTGACCATCTTGACGGGTACACGATGATAAATCTCATTGTGATTTTGATTTGCGTTTCCTTAATGAATTGTGATACTGAGCATCTCTTCATGTGCTCTTTGGCCATTTGTTTGCCTTCTTTGGAGAAGTATCTGTTCATATCTTTTGCCTGCTCGTTGATTGAGTTTATTAAACATTGTTGAGTTGTAGGAGTTCTTGATGTGTGCTGGTTATTCCCTCTTTATCAGGTATTTTTTCTCATTCTGTAGGTTGCCTTTTCACTTTATTTTTTGTCCTTTGATGCAGTACATAGAAGTTTTGGTGTAGTATATGTTGTGTGGGGGGCGCGTGACGCAGGGTAGCAGAGGTAAGACCTGCAGAGAAATGTCGGGAGAACAAGGAGACTGGAAACTCGCTCTGGAATCCAGCGAAGTTCTTTATTCTGCCAAAGCTTATATAGACTATACTGCAGGTACAGACAATTAATTAATAAGCAAGTGACCCAAACCTCCTGACTACAGGCCCAGCACTGCTTGGTGCCAAGGAGTCTGTTAATTGGCCAATAACCATTCCACTAACTTTATCTATAACTATTCTTAAACCCTGCAATGAAAACAAGACCATAAAACAAGTTTCTGGGAGAATAAGCTGATTGAATGCTTGACCTTCAGCAGACCATCTGGAGGCAGTTATCCATCCTAGGGAGTAGTCTAGAAATTCCCAAGATATACCCGTACCTGCCTGCAGGCCTGCCCCCCGAAGGCTCAGCTCTAAATCATTTCTACATGATAAGGTCCTGAGCACATAGGGAGTTCTATCCAGGTCTCTCTACATTCTGACTCACAAAAGACTTCAAACTTGCTCTCACAAAATGGAACTGTTTAGAGACTTACTTCTAGGCCTCCTGCCTATGGTATATATCGTTCATCTCATCTTTTTATTGCCTGGTGCTTTTGATGTCCTATTCAATAAATCATCTCCCAGTCCATTTTCGTGAAACTTTGCCTCTGTATTTTCTTCTAAGAGTTTTATAGTCTCAGGTCTGACATTTTAGTTCTTTGGCCCACGTTGCATTAATTTGTGTATTAAGGGAAGGG